CAGGTCAAAGAAATACCTCATGGCCAGTCCTGAAAACCAGTCCCCTGGCCCTGGGACTCCAACGAGGCCAAGGCAAACTTGCTCCCTGCGCCACTGTTTGGCCTGAAAGCAAGAGGGATGAAAATCTCACTTCACACTGCTAGATTCAGACTTGTCTAGCGTCCTGTCACCTTTCTGTTGTTAGAACATATTAGTATAGCATGTAACAGCATGTACTTATAGGAGAACCACAAGCAAATGGCAAGGTAAGCCTGCGTGGCAAGAGACGCGCACTACAACGTCATTTGCTGCGGAATCTTCTTGGCCGGGACCATGCAGGGTCTCCTTGACGACCTACCTCCCACCACAAGAAGTTAGTGTATTTCAAGCAATACACATCCTGGGATTTCATCCATCATCAATTCTACAATCCCACAGCTAATCCGGTCGTTCCGGTCGTTCTGCCTCTGAGTGACATGCACAGGCCCTCTTCGTGGGACAATGTACAGTAAATCTGTCCACATGTCAGACTATCGGATCAGCTGCCCTAAGGATAATTATAGAACCTTGGTTTCGCCATCAAAAGCAGAGTCGTCCCAAACATTGGGATCCCAATCACTAGCGGCGCTAGTCAATTTGGTCAATTTCATGTACTATTGTCCTCACCAAGCAGGCTGCAACGTGGCAGCAAATATTCCTGATCATTTCAGCGTTTTTGAATAACAACAACAACAACCACAACCACAACGACAACGACAACAGCAACAACATGCCGTGTCATTACAACGTGGGGGGGGCTATGTTCCTTCTTCCAGGATGTCTGCCGAACGTTCGCCACGCCCTTGGGAACCGTTCCGCCTGAACCATGGCCGCGGAGATGGGTCGACTCACACGATGGAACTTGTGAGCCGAGAATGGGCACGGGCACTGTCAGCGGCCTCCAAAACAGTCCACTGAAGTGGTCCACGTGACGAGTCTGCAGACCCTGAAAAAGACGAGTCTGCAGACTCTGTAGACGGTTGATCATATTTCAACCCCTCATACATGAAAAGATTTACCCGGAGTTGTGCGCAGCCGTTTTGCAACGACAAGAATGGCTCACCAGGTTATGCTTTTTGCTTGGGCAAGATGCAAAAAAAAGAGGTGCAAGAATCGGACGATGAACGTCTTGAGGAGGCCCTGGAACCCCAGGCCCAATTTCCAAATCTTCCGTGGAAATCGGATCTTGCTCTTTTTACATGGAGGGTCATGCATGAGTGGCCGTTAGTCCCCTCAAAATGGCCGATTAAGGAACTTGATTGGTTGAGCTTTGGCACTTTCACCCATCTTTTGCGATGGCATGAATCCCCTGAGCTCAAAGTTTCTTTCACGGAACTTGCGGTTTTTATCTGTCTTCTTGAAACTACCGTTCACACAGTTCAGTGATGAACACTGCACTTTCCAGCACCTTGCAAAATGGATCAAATCTTCCTTTGCCATGTCGCAAACAGCTCTCTTTCGATATCACTCCGGGACAGTATCAACCACACATTGCACATACTTGGGGCAAGTCCATGCCACCAGGTTCGTTGTGTGGGTGCCGCCCTTACTTTTCGGATGAGGCTTTGACTTTGCTCACCACGGAAAGTGACTGGTGCTGCAATGTCCTCCTGGGCTTTTGCAGTTGCGGAGTTTCGCTGACCTTCATGTAGCTTCTCTTTCTTGTATAGATGACATTTTCGTATACCACTCCAGTGGAATGCTGGCGGTACTGGCCACCTCAAAGGAGGGGATCCATCGTGGCCGCGGGAGGTAGAAGAGGCTTTACAATCGCCAAATGATGTTGTTTTAATTTAAGAGTCGACTATACATGAAGTGGTCCACTGAGAGAAGGTGCTGGTCACGAGAATCAGTTCAGACACAAGGAATTGTTAAAAAAAAGTTTACACAGGTCTTTTCAGAAGAGTAACTCGGGTATCCACTACCAATAAAAAAGAACTACTAAATGCTGATAGAACTACTTAAGCGGTTCACTTATAGAACTACTCTTCTGGCCAAACAATTCCTTTTCACCGACCGGTCCTGAGAACCGACACCGGTCTGACCGGACCGGTCGGGTCGCCTTCTGTCGTCCGGTCCCGCAGGTTCCTATGGGATCGTTGGTTTGAACAGGCCCCCATCCGGTGTCGGAGAAGAGGTGAGAGGCAGAGGTGTTAAACCGGAGATCTGATATCTTAAGGTCTAAATGGGATAAACATGGATAAACATGAAACAAGCTGGGAGACAATGATAGGAGTTCCTTGTCCCAGTCCATCCATAGCTACACACATCCCCCAAAATCCCCAAGCACTGCAAAGTGCAAACTGATATATCCACACCGAGACCAACTGCCCCAATCACCAAACAGTTGACAAAGGCTTTGCCTATCACTCGACTTCATCTGGTGATTGAAGGACTCGGGACCGGGAATTCCACTCAAATCACTACAACCCTAATGCGATTTGGTACATGCAACACCTTGAATTTAGGATCAAACATGGTGAGGGGATCAGGTGACTGGAGAATCTGAGGAAGTAGTTGAATCTATATAGGGAGCTATATAAGGTGTGTTAAATCATTAGAAGCAGGAAGACCGCCATGTAGATGTATGTAACACGTATGCTTTCCTTGTTGCATTTCACTTTCTCTGTCCTGTGACTTTGCATTTTCATGCATTTTCTCTTGCTTTACCTTGTGTTGTTCTTGTCAATTTTATTTGATTGTCGTGCTGTATGTTGCTTTTATGTTTTCTTGACTTGACCTATTGTTTTTGTTGCTTTGTTTTCTTGATTAAGTGTGTGTTTGAGTCCATGTTTGCTCCTCTCAGGGGATTTTGTGGGTCTCCTTCTTCAAGAAATGCATGCCACCATGCGAACTTTCGGACTAAGGAACCTAACATGGGAGAAGGCGACCAATACTAGTCCCACTGAAGATTGAGCACCGATTTAGTGCATGGAGGTCGTGAAACTATTTCTCATCTTCCACACCTTCTAACTCCACAAACCTGGCTGCTTGAATGGGCAGGGAAAAGCTTTCCTAGCTGTTTACCTGCCTACCAGCACCAGCAAAGCCAATCAGCCACCCATCCAACCACTCAACCAGCCAACCAGCCAATCGATGAACAACCCGTAGATTCCCAACAACAATCAACTGAGATCGGGTCAATCCCTCCGAACTACCCTGCAGATCATGGGCCACACCAGTGTTTTTTTCAGACTTCGCTGGTAATGCCTGAAACCCAGTGCAGGCTCCATGTGTAGCGAGATTCCTGGGTCCTTGTGAAGACTGGGAAGCAAGTATTGGTTACTAATCCCCCCCAAACATGGATTGAAAAACTTCATATTGAAGTATACAGTATAATCAAAAGTCTACATTACAAGCTAATCAAAGTCCGACACAAGGAAGGCTGGCACCACCCGGCAGTTGACAGCAACCCTATCAACCGGAAAAGAACAAAAACGACCTTCCATGACTTTCCTCTGTGTGAGAACATGAGAGGAACAATGTGAAACCCCGCCCCAATCCGGGTATTGTCCTCTCACACTTCATGAGTGGGCCGGATACTTCATGGATTTCTTGAGTCAAACGAAACTCCCAGATTGTCCCCGCTGGTGACGAGTGTTACTCCATGTTTCCTCTGAACTCGTCCGACTGCGCCCCGACCTCAAACGACCCAGGTTGCGATCTTTGCTGAACTTGGAGCCACTTCCCGATACAAAACGGTTGAATCCACAGGTCACTTTGACTTCATTTTACTGGAGTTGGTCATGTAAAGAACTTCTAGCAACCAAACGACTTGGTTATTTACTGGGTCAGACTGGACTTGTAGAGGTTGAACCCCTTGCTGCCGCCATCGCATGGAGCCTGCCATTCTAAGCACAGCCTCGTTGGCCACGTGGGCGCTCATGACATACTTACATCACCAGCTCTAGAGAAGCTATCCCAGGGCGAAGTTGACTTGGCTGCACCCCAAATGCCAGAGCTAGTCATTCATCAATACTCAGCAATCAAGTTCCAGCAGCTTGCAATGACCGGTCAGATTGTTTGGATGCAAAGGTGCAAGAGGAAGAAAACATTTGAAAGGCCGGACAATCCAACCACCTCCATTCAAATAACACTGCCCTTAAACTACACACATCTACACACACACATGCCCGAACGAAACTGAATCACATGCCTGGTAAAGGAAAAGCACGACCTTTGAACACTGCTTCTGGATGCCTCTGGGAGGTTTATAGCGTGTATATGCTGAGTCCATAGATTTACCATGGAACGCTATGATCCAGCCCAGCCTATTTCATTCGTGATCCGCTGGTGATATGGATCATGAGCACGCATCTTCCCCGCTCGGCACAGCACTCGACGCAACGGCGTGTTCCTGTCGATTGGAAGTCACATGCTAGATGGATACGTAACATTGTATAAACACATTCCACTGAACGTGAAGATTGATCGGACCCATCAGTTCCTTGGGGATCGTATGAACATATGCCTCACCAATCAAACATTGACCACGGAGATCATGGAGATCATGGAAACGGTCCGGGCCGCGACACGAAACGGCCCGGTCGGTGGACGCCGCCGGTTCCGCGCCCCGCCGCACGTGGCAGGCGACGCACCCGTCGCCGCTGGTCGAATGCTGCTCTACAAATCTAAAAGGTCCCTAAAGGCCAGACGACCGCACCAGACGTGGCAGGGTGGGGTCTTCCTCTTCTCAACGTTTTTTGGAGGAACAACGAGCGATTGCAAATGCTGACAGCTAACCACTCCACAGAGCGATTGAGTCCACCAACAAGAAAGACACTCAGTAAACGGTGGGCGAGCAATGGAAGCCAATGAAAACAGCTCAAATGGCCAGGGCTGACATGACCCTTGGGCTAGGAAGACAGCCAAATGCTCCAGAATAGCTTGATCGTTTTGGAGCAGAGTGGACCATGGTTTTTCGAGGTGTCTGATGCCTTTTTTGCCTGCCTGTGTTTGACCCCACATTGAGAACTGTTTCAATCGAAAGTCTTGTCTAGATCCCACCGTCGTGGTTCTGCCTGTCTAAAACCCCGCTCTCTACGCTCTCTACACTCGCGCTCCCCGGAAGCAGAGCTCGTGCCGTGGTGTTTACTCCACGCGTCGCGTCGGCCCTGCTCAGGGTCGTTGGAGCTCACACCCCAAGATGCAAACGGCCTGGCCGGGTCGTGGCTCGGCTCGGCGAGCTTCCAGCGGAGCGAGCTGAACGAGCGACGTCAAGCAAGTTCGTTCTCCGATACCATGGTGCTATGACCCAAAGCCAAGCTGCTTGGCAAGAAGAGTATATTATATATACAGTTACAGTTGTGATGGACGCCCCAGGGGTGCAAGACCTATAGTGCTCATTAGTGCTCCATCTGTCAGACGGGCCTCATGACATTTTGACATGGTGATGCCATTGTCGACATCGGTGCCCTAGTCGCTTGGGCCGCTTGGGCCCTTTGGAGATACTGAATGATACGGCACTAGCGATGGCACTAGTGATGGCCTCCAACCTACATCCAGCATGCCTGGTGCCTGGGAAGCCGATGCCACTGTCCCATTGATAGCAACTGTTTTGACACATGGCGGCTGACATCGCCAGCTATGGCAGCTAGGCCAAATGTGCGAACCATCGTCACACTCCAAAATCACAGGAATGGTTAAATGAGTTAAATCACTCAACCACAGAACGAGCTCTGGACTTGGGATTGGACTACATCTCAATGCTCTGCTCACATGATCATGTTTTGGCTACCCAACATTACCCAGCACACAGCCCGTCCTCGAGAAATGATGCGTGCCTAGTCCCGGACGTCGCAACTTGCAGTACTCTTGTGTTGTGCCATCAGCCCCCGCAAGACGACGACGTCACGACGACATATTATGAAACCATGTACATCTTCCTTGCAATTTGCCCGGTGACCTTGGACAACACACTTTGTATTGCAGAACGGTAGTGGCCAAAAAGACCCCCATTTGATGGACATTGGCACGAGGATCCATGTGATGTGCGGAGCTGTCTTACTTCACCCAGAATCTGTTTTCATCTTCATCTGAAGCGGGGAAGACAGGTTCGGGCGATTTGCCGCTCTGGCACGTCCGGTTCGAACCCTTCTCCACCCCAGCCGGCTCACTCATTGAACCCACGAAGACCCGGGGGGGTGACGCGGAAAACCGCGGGGGTCCGCCTCGTCGCCCTCCAGGTCTTTGCCCTCCCCCGGCAACCACTTCATGGACCCCGGTGGCGACCTGAGCGGGCGTGGAGGACGCGGTCGGAGGGCGGTGTATGTCCGTGCCATATACGCCTACATTGGGGTGGTTTCAGGGGTCAATGTAGACATATATGGCATATTTGGAGTGTCTGGGATACACAAGTACATGGAGTGTCCAAGTCAAGGTGGTGAACTCTGAAGGGGATAGGAGTGGTCAAGTGGTCAGAAGCTCATGGGCGCAAGCCCCGCCCTGCGCGCAACAGAGCCGAAGCAGGTTCATCTTCAGGTGAACTCGCCACCACAGTGACTGGTGGTATAACTAGTCAGAGCAGGGTTCACATCAAGGACGTCCGACCCAGCGGGTCGCCATGGGGTCGATGCCAGGTGGCATAGATCATCTTACCTGCCAGGCTCTGGCAGGAGCTTCGTGCTAGGCATCCATCATCCAAAATATGGGTTACTTCACGACCCGGTATCCCCTTCCCATAAATCAACTACACTCTGACTCACTAACATGGAAGCAGAACATGGTCCCTTGGAAGACTACTTTCCATTTACAAACAGTGTTTTCTCCACTTCCATGTTAGTGAGTCGGAGTGTAACCAAGGGTGTAGGTCAGGCCGTTCATGACATCAAGACCTCTTCCGAACCTCCTGCCGCCCCCGGGAACCCGACTCCAGCACCAAGGCTACTCGATCCCCTTCCATGATCTCCACCTCTCGCGGGACTGCGTCGCTGGCAAAGTGTTTCGCAGCTCTATGTTCCCGGCACCAGGAGTTAGTTCCCACCAGGGGTTGAACTGAAGATATCCGTCTCAACATCGACCCATATCGACCCTAACCCCAACAGTATCTCTTGGTGGATGTGAAACGACGGTCGCACCTTCTTCTGCTTCGCGTGGAACTGCCACCTGGGGCGCTTTCCCCCGCAGGCGCTCAGGACAACCCAAGTGGGCGAAAACTCAACAAATCAACACAGATTGAGGATCACAATGATCACGTTCCCCAGCATCAATGTGTATAATTACGTTTGGTTGACCCCGAGGTAGTCCTTTATGTTAGAATTATATAGCTAATGAAGAATAGTGTTGATTGCATGACTTTAGACTGTTCGTGCGGTGCTTAGGAGGCGACCCAAGGCATGTCATTCAAACTCTGACCATTCATCGCAACATGTGTGGGAACCGCTATATCTTCCCGACAAGTAACCGTTGACCGTTCACCCCCAATCACCGACGAGTGAGCGAGTGATCGTGGTGCCATGGGTCGGCAGCGTCATGAGGTCAACATACCTGACACCCTCCTCACACCGTTTGACGTGTGTCGTCTCTGGGCCAACGGGGGCCCTGCGCCTGCGGTTGTTCCCAAACGAAGAACCGATGCTCCGTGGCGGTGTGAAGAGCTGATACATCGAAGGCACGGAGAGGCGACCATAAAAAACGACCCAAAGACCCAGTCCGCACACATGTCCGATCTGTCCAAACACATGCACCATCCACAAGCAATTCTCAAAGAAACCTCAACATCTCAAAACTAAACTCAACAAGCAGACCCTCCGGCAGCGCCCATCGCGCTCCGCGCTGCTCCGATGTATTTCCCAAAAGAGCGACTGCCATCCCCAGACCCTCCATGGGACTGGGACAGTCACTTAAGTCACTTACTGTAACATGGGTCATCAATATTCATTACCTGAGGCAAATGCATGCAAATAGTCGTGTATTGGATTCCAGTCTCATACGGAACCCTCCACAACAAACGCGTCAACGCGTGGCGTGCCGCGCGGCGCGTTGGCGCGCCAACGCGGGCCTCGACTCCCGGTGCCGTCGCACATAGAGGCCCAAGGAGCTTAGCCCCGAGACCGTCGCCACCGTGGCGCTCCTTGGGGCGAGCGTCGCGGCTCAGCTGACGACGGGCACCGCACGAGGGAGGGAGGACACGGAGCGCGTTTGAGCAGAAAATTGAAGAAAACGAAGACGAAAACGAGTCAAATCCAATTGAAGTCTTCAAGGAAGAAGAAAAGCCGAACTCTAAAACATCCCAGCTCTACTCAGCTAGGTCCGTGTCTATACTTCAAAACCGAGCATGGTTTTCATGGAAAAAGATCGGTTGCGGAGGAACACAACGACCGAACAGCATCTGCAGTGTGAAAAGAAAGTCCAAAAATGTTGGCAAAAACGTCAGGATGTATCCACCATGTCATAGACATAGCAGACACTCGATGGTAAACCACAGCATACCACAGCTGATCGAACCGCCCACACTTCTCAGGGAACCGCACTCAGCCGTCTCCTGGGATGCGGTCGGACATGCACTGGATGAAAGTGTTTGTTCCGTGTGTGGCCGGTGAAGAGCTGGACCCTGCATGTTCCTTGTAAAGGTTCCCATTCCATGGACAAGGCTCGCCTGAAAGGATCCTAAAAGGCCTAATCATCGAGTAGCAACTGAGGCAAAATCATTCCAATCATTCCTGGTCTTCATCATCTTGGTGGAAACATTCTGGAGAAATATATAACTCATCATGACATCTGGAAAACCTCCAACAAAGCCACAATAAGCCACACTGTAGCACTGTAGAGGATGTTGCTGAGCAGATCTCCACCAAACTAAGCCGACCAACACTGGTGATGATCATGTGATCCTGTACGTGATCAACACAATGTTGCAAGACGTTCCATCGATCGAACATGATCTGTCAAATCAACCTTTAGATTGCAATTTGTCTTTAGCAAAGAGTAGGCTGCCAGTCATCAGTCACACTCCCAGTCAGCTTTCGATGGCTCATCGGAATGGCTCTGATGACACAGCGCCAAAAGTCTCTGATCTTGCGATCTGCACGGGAGGAGCTGATTGAAGGGAGAAATCAAACTATTCCGAAATGACAGCTGGGTTGTTCATGTGATGTTTCCACGATTGCACCAATCTTGGGATGAGCCAATCTCGGGATTCTCCCCCATACGGCACCCCCTCCTGTTGGACAGAATCCTACACCACCAGGGATACGGATATGATATTGATATAGCAGCTAGGTCTAGCAGACCAAGCGAATCACAAGTTCCAAATGTAATTTGGTAAATTTCGGTAGAACTCTACAATGGGCCAAACCCGCTTGCTTGTAGTTGATGTTTCATCAATTTAAATGTGTAATCGCAAAAGAACATAGTAGGACTGGCTAGCGGCTAGAACCAGCGACGATCAGTCTGCGACACCTGATGATCCAAAAATCGTTCCCATATATGACCAACTCACCGTCCCGGAACGGTTCGGAACATCGCGGCACGGTGCGTCTCCTGCGAATCTTCCCAGAAGCCCAAGGCCAAGGTCGCCATCTCGATGGTTCCCTGAAGAAAGAAATGTGGAGCCGGAAACAGCACGGTTTAGGGTCACCTCCAGGCGACCTGAGAACCATATGGAGGACCTGGGACAGATACCGTATATCTGGAGCCTAAAAGAATCCATTAAAGCCAAAAACAATCTGGAGGACCTCAAACCCATTTTCACGCAGCTCCTTCACAGGGTCATGGTACCTGTTTCCCGAATGTCCAAGTCAGACTTACTGTAACCCCCACGGGTGGGTCCTATGGGGTCTCGCAGAAATTGATTGGAAAACATGGGACAGCATTCGGCTCACAGGATTCATGTTGTGTCAAGGTGTGCTCGCAGGATTCATCGCTTCACTATGCCTGATTTGTCCTGCAATTCATGTCTGCGAGCATGAGACTAGCGACACACATGGTTATGGCTCAAAAGCAGGGTATACCGTATTGTATACCATCCAAACACACTGGCGAAAGGAGAATAACAAACATCTAAGGTATCCCGGGTCTGCGATATATTGCAAAAATAATGAGCCACACACTCATCGCCAGATCTCCCCCACCTCTGCCACTCTGAGCTGTCCAAAACAAAGATGCGAAAAACGTCGCCTGGGTCGGCGCCACAGTTTCTGGGATGTCGAGCTGCATGAAATCTCGACCTGAAAGGGAACAAGCAGGCCCTGCAGGGCGCAGGGGAACAAGCAGCAGCTATGAATTTCTGAAGGGAACGCTTGAAGGTCCATTTTGTAGACAGTGGATTGTCCAACACCCTCCACAACTACAATGAACAATAGAGGTAGCATGAGGTACTGTAGAGGTGTGCTCACCCACAACACCCTGCGATTCTGCAGTGCTTCTCATGGTGAAGAAAATCCTTCCCTGGTATAATACATCCCGTTTCACCAGCTGGACCCCATCACTTCGCTGTGGGGGGCCGTGATACATCATTGCAAGTTGCAACACCCAAAATCCAATCCAAAATCCATCAAAATCCCAACATCAACATCCATCAACCTCTCTTGAGCCCCAAGTAGTGGGCCCCTCCATTTTCTCTCCCATGCGCAACCCCCGTTTCCCGAGAAAAACCACATCACTGGCGCCACGAATCACCCACCCTCAGACGATTTCAAAGCCACTGCCGACGTCCTTTGGGGAAGATTTGACGGATCGATTGGGTACCAGTTCCGTATACTAGCTATCATAACTGGGGAGTCTATCCCACTACCAGGGTCCAGTGGATGATGAGGATGATGATGATGATGAAGATGAAGATGATTATGATTATTACTATATAATATTGCAGGCTTTTCTCCCAAAAAAGTGATCATTTTGACCAACTGTTACAGGTAAAAGGAAGAACCCCACATATACCGGTTGTTCACTTGTATCGCGTTCGCCTCACAGATACAAATGACATGCAACCAATAGCAAAGTTACAGGCCTCTCTAACCCCAAAAAGGGTAGCGATCTGTCCGCACGCCAACACGCTTAGACCCTAACGCGGAACGGGATGGAGAGGACTCTACCCTACCCCGACCCGGAACGCCACCTCGCCGGTTCGCGGTGGCCCGAGCGGCTCACGAACTTCGTCAGAGCCATGGGCGTCTTGGGCGTCGGCACCTCGCAGGTGACCTGGTCCGGCGCGGAGAGCTACAGCTCCGGGTTTGATGAGTTTGTGAGCTGGATGATGGGAAAGAGAAGGGGCATGGATGGCCTTACAAGCCGACCTCGTTTCTGGTCCGTGATCGTTTCGGGTCGAATTCTGGATCGGCCTCCCTGGGGCCGAAGGGCGAAGTAGCCTGGGGTCATGTAGAATCTTCATGAAAACCAAAAGTGGTAGATAGGCATAGAAAATAACATCAAATGATCAACCCGATCCCCTCCTCAATACAGCTTCCTACTACAACTGATGCCGCAACAAGTCCAACTCACCAAAAATCGTCTCGTACCAAGTCAACACCCCTCCAGACTCACTTCGTTCCCAGAAACTGACTGCAGCCTAGCCTATCGGCTGGCTATAATGAAAAAAAAGAAACATCTACCTAGCACTTCCTGTCTGGGTGCCCTGTCTGGAGACCTCTAGGCCGGTAGGGTGGGCTTGTCCAGCCAGGTGACCCGGACTGGAAGCACTTGGTACCTTGTTCGTACCTTGTGTGTTACGTCCGGACACACCACGTCCGCTCCATAGCTCTTAGCTCTTGCCATCCGGATCCGTCGACGACCGTCTGGCGGCCTTCTTATTCACCAGCTCTTGGCGACCAAGTACAAGCCTGCAACACCCAGCTTCCAAGACTACCCGACCCAGCTGCAACACCCGGAGGTACCCAGTGCATCACTCACCCCTATTATATAGATATAGAGACACTTATATTGACATGTTTAAGCTGCTCAAGTCTTTGGCAGTAACTCAATCTACCTCAGTAGGGAATCAGAATCCTTTGGAGATCTTTGCCAGCTGCGTTGGGTCAGTCATTCGTGGCTGATCGGTTTGCCATGACACAACGGCACACTACGGCATCGATCACATCCCGAAGGTCGACCGATGATTTATACCGAGAGCCCCAAACCTGTGAAGATGGTTTCCAGGATCGGAATCGTGGGAATTGTATGGATGGCCTTTCGCCTCGATGTATGTTGGATTCACCATGTGTCTCTACAAATTCAGATGGTGTTCCACTCCCATGATGTTGGTCCACGGTTCGTGGGTTCGTCGATCGAAGCATCCGTGGAGAATTCGATGGACTGACTGTATGTTCGATTCCAAACCGTCACCTGTTCTAGTAGTAACAAGTGCATTGCTAGTAGTAACAAGTGCCTTACTAGTAGTAACAAGTGCCTTAACTCCGTAGAGAATTTGGATATATTTTGTTTTAAACATTTAGGCGGACATGCTCCAAGGATGTTGTGGTGATTTCGTCTGGGTTCCCAAATCACTAAGTCACTAAGACATTTGGGCAACAATTCAACAAGATCGGTCAGAGCATGACGACAACAGCAAACGCATCCAAATATGGAAAGTTCATGAAAATTCTAAGATCAGGATTCCCAGGATGGTGAAGTGCTCCTTCTCATCGTTTTTTACATCTCAATGTGGTGATCTCATGTTCATCAACATCACCAAGTTTGGCCCTTCTCCGCCTGCAGGTGGGCCGCTGATGTTCACCTGAAGGCACAACAATCATGAAAGGCAAGAGTTGTCCGTACATCCATTGTGCAAGGCAAAACCATGGCAATCAGGGTGCAACTCAGGGTGGCTTGTTGACTCCAGGTACAACTCCCACAAAATGAATGTTTCCGGCTCAGAGTGACTGTGACTTGTTGAGTCGAGCAGGTTACCGTGACCCGAAAAAGACAACCGTTTCCGGCACCAAGGCAAGCCGTTTCCATGGAACCCGGTTTACCTTGTTCCACCTGATCGCAATCTCTCTGGCCATCACTCGTGATGGCCTCACTGTAGACACTCCAGACGTATAAAAAGAAGTCTCAAATGTACAAAACAAACAACCCACGGAATTAAGCACCGTAGTCATCAAGTGGAAAATCCCAGGTTAGTACCTTGTTCCACCTGTTCTTGCTTAGTAAGAAGGCCTCTGTAAAAAAAGAAGTTCGTTACTTTACTTCGAGTGATCCCCACTATGACACTTCGATCTGACAAATTTTCTGGCAGGTATTGAAACATTAATTTGACATTCTGCCTGGCATATCTTCTGACATTAGTTCTGGCATAACTTCTGACATTCTTGCATCTGACATTCTTTCTGAATCTTTCTGACATTATTTCCGGCATATCTTCTGACATTCTTTCTGGCATCTCTTCTGCATGACATGCTTTCTAGCATATCTTCTGACATTCTGTCTGGCATATTTTCTTGCATTCTTTCTGGCATCACTTCTGACATTCATTCTGGCAGTCTATCTGGCATATCTTCTGCATATCTTGTGACATTATTTCTGACATTCTTTCTGGCGTTCTATCTAGCATATTATTCGCGGTTGAGGTCCGGCGGGGAAGACTAGGAAGATGGCAGCTGACATAAAATCGAACCCTCATATGACAGATGGGGAAAAAATGGTTATTTAAGGTTATCCACTGACTGGGTAGGACACATCTGTACACACGTGTGATCACTTCTGATGCAACGGTCGTCCGGACTTCGCCCAGTTTGCCTGGAGACGACTCGCTCTCCAAAGAGGCGCTCGACACCGCCGTGATAGGGCGCAAGTCCTCCACCGCGCGGTCGACTCGATCTGGCCCGCCCTCTTACGGAGGTTGCAATGCTGGACTTAAGCCAGTGGAGATTGCAGAAACATTCTTCGCAAGCGGCGGGCAAAACGATTGGCTAAACCCATTAAAACAAGAATAGTGACCCCTATCCGTGTGCAGAAATCTAGATAATTAAGGCAACATCATGCAACACCCTTTCGTCTATAGCCTTAACACACTTAACTTATAGTGTTGTTGGCTGCTCACATGTTGGTTGATCAAAAGTCAGGTCACATAGGTCTTGAATCTTGAAAGGTCCCTTACAAATCCAATGTGACTGTCAGGCCGGAGCGTGAGGCCTATAGCTATGGTCGGGCTGTGCAGGTCCTCTAGAGAAATCTTGGCTTGTGGAGCTGCGCCTGATCCAGTTGGCTCACAACTCTAAAAGGGATAGGACTACAACTCCCATGCGAAAGGAGCCTGAAGCAAAATATGGCCCTTGCCGCCACACCTGGCGGCTTGCCACTGGGGAAAGGCCCGGTGACTGCCCGGAGGGAAAGCCCTACAACATCCAACCACCTGTCAGCAACCAGAAGGACCAGAAGTGGGAAAGAACTAGGAAAACTGGCACACCACCTGTCCGCGATAACAACGTGGACTCACGGCTGCGCATGCGAACGGACAAGTTGTCATTCTGTAAGTCTGCGACAGGGACAGGAATTGGAGAATCCATGAGAATCCGGCACGCTGTGAGGGCTGGGCCAAGAAAACCTGGCTGGCTTCAGTTGCAGTGACAGTGAGGACTCCGCCCGGGCGGCGGGTATTTCTACGTCGGCAGAAAGAGACCATCGATCTTTCACGAAAGGACAGTAAGAGATACCTGGCGCAGAAGCGAAGTCGCGGAGCCTTTGTGAATGGTTTGGACAGCATCATTTTAGGTCGTTTTATATAAAACCCATTAGATCAACTCCCATTTAGACATTGTATGTATAATATATAAGAATATACAAGTTTGGCATTCCTACAAAGAAATGACTTGGCAGGGCAGGCAAGGTGCTTTCCTTGCCCCCAAAGAGACTCATCCTCTCATCCGGATCCCCTCATCTCCACCACGATGAAACACTTCCATCCCGGGCCGGTGGTTCTGCCCCGTGCCCGAGGCGCGGTCCACGGTCCTGGGTGGTCATCCGGGGAAGTTCCAGATCCTGGAAGTAGCTGGCATCGCTCACCAACTTGAGATTCACCAAGGGTCTCTTTGCCTCCGCCGCGAAACCCGGCAACGAGAGGACGACGGCTCGGCTTGCGATGGGCTCACGGCGATGGACGCCGCGCGAGGACGACGACGCACCATCGTGGTGGCGTGGAGGTGAGTGGTGAGGTGTTCTTTTTTCAACGAGCCCAGCGTGGTTTGAATGGAGTTGTTTCAAACGTAGAGAACATGGATCCCCGGAAAATGCGAATGGTTCGCCCCTTTGCGTGACTCAATGACAGCGGATCCCTAGAAGCTATGAACGACACTTGCTCTGGTTGTTTCTGACAAACTTGGGGATCAACCACATACACTGCATTGGCATTGCAACTGATTCTGGGTCATGACCCAGGCCCCATGGCTCCTCCCACACCTCTACTTCGACAGGATGACGTTTTCAGCCATATACCTACCACAAAGGAGACCGCCATCCTCCGGCTAGGTCGGCTATTGACCTGGTCGTACCGCATCATCTCTCAGAACAGGTCGTACCCAGCTTTGAAGCCTCTGGTCTTGAGTAACTGAAGTAATGCAGCATGATTCGCTTAGAAGGATGAGGCATTCACCACCAAAGGCATCTCTTTGGGGTCGATTTTCCTGCTATCCTTGAGTGGCGGCGGGTTCCGGAGGGGTACCGGAGGGGTAATGGGTCACCTTGTTCCGGTCACCTTGTTCCGGCATTTCTTGTTGGTGAGGCTTTGGGGGATTGTAATTTTTGTCAGCTCCGGAGCTCCTCTTCCGGGCCTCAGTCTCTGGAGCCGGGACGCCTGGGCACTCGGACGCACCCCGCATCCGAAGGTCCCGCATCCGTACACATGAAACCGACCTGTTTGGTCAGTCCAGTCCGACAGGTATTTGGATTTCGGTCTCTTGGTAGAGAACATCCTATGTTCATGATCATTATGATGTTGAAGATCAGGGTGGTAAGTCTGTGATTGACACTGCAACGCAAGAGGATTCGAATTCTATAGACTTCGGTGACTTCGGGACCCACCGACTGCCAGTCGGTGACACACAAAGGGTTTCCAACGTTGGGCCCAACGTTGGGCCACCTATTGTGTCATTGATGAGTCAATCAACGGATAAATACAAACAACGCGTATTGCTGAAACGTTCATGTGCGATGCTAATCTGCCCTCACAGAACCAACGTTGGGAGGCTCGTAAAGCGTTCTATGGCTCAAGGTCTATCCTGGAGATTCATTATCCTCATAATCGGATAGGTACTTTGAATGTTCAGGAAAGGATGGCCTCTATTGCGTTGATCGATAAAAATTGAAGTAAAAATCAAGTGCGCGTCTGAACGTAACATGATTGATAATGCATGTACACCAAAAAGACCTTCAAGCACCTTCGATAAATGCCATTCACACATTTGGAAGACTATTTTATCTGAACAAATAGTCTTCCAAACCGACACTTCATGGATACTGAAGACCAGTGCTTTCAGAATTGGCAACCTGCACTCCAAAAAATGGGTCCGAACTAGGCAAAAACGACGGAGGCAGGCCTTCTTCACCGCAGCCTTCGTCACCGCACCTCCCCGCGCCCAACGTCCCCCGCCGCTCGCTCTGCGCTCCGGCCTTCGACGCTCGCATCGAGGCCCGCATTGTCGCCCAGGGTCTTCTGGCGTTGGGCCTCCACACGAGTCCGTCCAAGGACGGCATGTTTGAACAAGGGACGTTTGAAGGGTTCAGTGCATCTGTTGGACGGTTCTGATGCTTGATTCTACAGATGTTTCAATTAGGGTCAAGTACAAATGTGTAATTCTATAGCGGGACGAATATTTCGCTTTACCATCCTTTACTAAGTGCTCACCAAATCCGGCAGGCCAAAAACTGCATGAAGTCCCCAGGATTCCAACCATTGACTGACTTGGTCTTGGAAGGCTAGGCTGGTGGATTCAGGCACTGTGCCATGTGCCGCTCCCGTCCAGGACCGAGTGCAGCTTTCGTGCTCGCGCGCGCAGGGTGTTCCGGGCCAGGTCCGGAACCGGGTGGCAGAACCCACCCAAGTGATGCAGATCCTGGGAATGGGTCCAAGTTGAGTTCGTGTCTCGATTCGTTGAGAGTTTAGATGCCACTCCGAACACATCACATGGAAGCCATACCCAGACACTCCATGGGACTGCCATATATGCCTATAGACCCCTCTGGCACCAACCCCTGGCCGTTTCTCGGCAGTCCGTCCTGGCAGTCCCATAGGTCGTGTCTGGGATAGATGTCCAGTTTCTACAGAAGAGTCGTCTTCCAAGAGACCATGCCATCCACTGCCACCATGTGATGTAGTCAATGTAGGGGCGCCAGCGCCATGGCGCATACACCACTGGCCAACCCTGAAAAGCCTTCCCCGAGTGGTGAAGGACCGTGTGTTGGCTATCAAATCACCTGATGAAAAGCATCTTAGGGTAGTAGTAGCATTCTGTCTAACCTCTTCTATCTCCCGTCTAACCTCCCAAACCCCGGGCCCGTTCACCGACCAACACATGAACCCCGTTCACTCGTTCGGGGCGCCCCTGTGCGGACGTGATACTGTATCCCCGCCTGAGACTCGAGGGAATTCTCCGCGTGGCGCTTGGAGCCTGCGACTGCCCAGGGCGGTCGCGACATCGGGAAGCTGATGAAACATGCAATTGACATCCAATTGATTAACATCCTCTATGGATCCAACATGAATCCTATCATGATCTAACTATCATGACAGTCTGTGGATGTTACAAGTACCTCTCCGTTGCCATAGATGGATGATCCTGTGACCTCCAAACAGGGTGGAGTTCCTGTTCCTCTTCCCGCTTTTTCGGGCCATGGCGCCAAGAAGGATAGAAAAGGCTAGATTGAACACTTGCAAATGGCGAGTATAGCCCAGACACTCCATGGGACTGCCATATATGCCGCCCCATTGACCCCCCTGGCACCACCCCACTGATCGGCATCTATGGCAGTCCCATGGAGTGTCTGGGTAGTGACTTTTCATGACCCTTAAGAGTCACGAGACGAGTTCCGGGACGTGACGCTTCACGTCTGCGACGAACGAGACGCGCCGACGGTCGAGGTCCACATCCACGGCCCCTGGATGGGACGAGCCACACCACCCCGAGCTCAGTCCATGATTGTTCGGACAAAATGGAGAAAGGCTCATACGACATGTGACTGGCAAATGAGCCTTGTCTCACCCGCATGGACCATTTGACAAAAACAGTCGTCCAGTTTGACCCAGGTCCAAGCTGGCCTTTTACCACCATCTCCATGCAGTAAAATGAGATCTTTGACTTGCTGGATTATATTAAAATGTAACGCATGTTTAAGGTTTTCGGGGTGGCTCACATGGTTTTGAAATAGGTCCTTTTTTTTCAGGGGATCATGATGCGCACCGATCGTGTTGAAGGAAAGCAGAGCAACCCAATAACCATCTGCAAAGTCGTGTAGTTGAAGATGTGACATTCTAGCACACCCTGGCCCCCCCTTCTCAATGCTCGCAAACATGTTCAGCATCGCACCAAAAAGCCACTAATGGGGCGATGAGGGAGATTCTTGCCCCACTCCAACAATCATGTCCAATACAAATACCATCAAATACCTGCTTTTGAAGAACAGGGCTCCATTCTTTGCGTCTCTGCGCCATGCCTACAGTTGCAGTTCGACCATTTACTCCATCACCTGGTGTGGCACCGTCCTCCATCCGCTGCAGCTGCTCCAACGAAACATGACCAGCTCCGAGCAAACGCCTCTGAGCGAAACTGCTGCGATCGCAAGCCTTGGCGCTGAGCGACCGATAAGCCAGGAAGCACAAAAAGCACATGTTGACCTTCCACCAGCAGTCACAGAGCTCGGGGTGGTGTGGCTCGTCCCATCCAGTGAGTGGATGTGACAGGGGCACCCTTATCCTTTAAGTTCGGCACCCCTTTGGAACTGCTGGCACAGCGTTCTGAAGGAAATCTCTAACATCTAACTGCAGGGGCAGTTCATCCTGAAAAAGTGAAAGCGACAACTTAAATCTTTGACCAGCTTTGTCTAACTAGACATGCTGACGCTTTGCTGCTGGTGATGCCCATTCAATCCTATTCATATCAATCGCTGAGCTGAGCTGAGCGACGACAGTTGCGGCAACAAGTTTTTGATGTCGGAATTGGCCTCAAACCATCACAGGCACAGCGCACACTGGTGATACATGCGGCGCACCAGCCATGACAATGATGTTCAAACTTCAAACAATATACATGCATATTACACTCCCGAGTCAACTCACATAGACCCTGACGTCCTGGTCCCATGGAACACGATTGTCCTCTACCAACCCAGGGGTGTACTCAGGTTCCATGGGATCGTCGACACCAGGGTGTCATGTACACCGGCTCCCCTCGGGGAGTGCAGCTCACGACATGAAAGAAAAAGCCTGGCCAAGCCCTGCATCTGCCAAAAGCAGGGGCGACTCGAGACGGGAAACTCTCGTCGCCCGGTTCCAGCGCGGATGCGGTGTCTCCGGAAACTCGGCTCCGTTTTTGAGGGATCGTGGGGGGATGATAGGGACAGCAGAAGGCAAGGTAAGGGAGGGTGCCCGTTCCGCGGGTTCTGAGCGGGCCAGATGCAAAACGGGATGTTTTTGGGTAAATGCGGTGAACAATCCAAGCTTGTTGCAGGTATGAACGCTCCTGATGCCTGTGATCGCATGCAAAAGGCAAAGGAAACGTGTTGCAAAAGTGGTGTATTTGAAGGCAAGGTTGCAAAAGTCGTTGCAAACATCAGTGTTGGCAATGATGTTCTTTAAACATCATACTTGTTTCCTGAGCCCCGGACAAAATATTACAGCTATTACTACAGCTATTAGTTTCTTGCTGCACTATCCGGCAAAAACAGCGCAACTACAACAGAATTGCATGTAACCTAGTCTCGCTGGTTCAGCAAAATGCTACACAACTTCTGCTTAACCATGCTTAACCAGCGGGTTTGGATTGTTCCCTATTTTTGAGCAAACAACCCAAACCAAGAAAGCCAAAACTCTAACTGTTCACCGGCCTGACGAATGAGGCCCAGCTCATCCTGGATGATGACACAGGTTCAGATTTGGTTTGCGCAATGATTGCAAGCTGAAAAGCCGCGAACATTCAACAACCAAAACAACCAGAACCATCGGCTAAGGATCACTGTGAACACATTCGACTACCCTTTTGTATCCTTCTGTTATAGATATACATGAATATCTTATGTACATCTTCGTCATGCTCTGCTCCACAGCTTGCAGACATACACCCTAAACGATTTGGCACGATCATGTGAACGATGGAACGACCTGGCTCGAAGAGCGGTTCTTCGACCAGGGATGGGTGGAATCAATCCATCCAGTCGTACCTTCTCAGGTACGGTGATTGGAGACTATTTATGTAGGCTTGGAGGGCCCAGTCGTACCTTCTGAGAAGGTGGCAGTGGATCCCTAGGGAAGATGAATCAATATGAATCGGCCGAGCAAACCAGGGAGGCTGCCAGGTCTGCACAGGTGAACCTTCGCTCATTCTCGACATGGGACTGGCACGACCATCTCTGCCTACATCCACCTCCCCTTTTATCAACCACCGCAAGTAAACTGAACTTCTTACATATATGGAGGTCGGTCCGCCCCCGCGTCCTTATCGCTCGCTCGCTCGCTCCGTGTCCTTCGCGGCTCGGGACTCGCGGGCGGCCGCCCCTCCACCTGCTCGGCTCGTATCGGTGCGCCCCTTCCCTTCGGCGCTCCTCGGGCAGGCGAAGGAGATCACTGGCACGGCCCACCTTGCTGCTGATGGCCTCCGCGGAGCGAACAGGGTTGTCAGCTAGGGAGCGAACAGGTGAGCAGCCTGCTAGAAGGGGCGAACAGGAATCAGCAGCTGAGCTGCAGCACGTGTTTTGGAGAGAGGTGTCCGGAAACCATCAAATCTCATGCAAGTGACCAAGTATAGCAACCACTGCCACAACAATGGATGATGAGTTCCTGCTCCCACCTCAACACTCAAGATTATCTGAAGGTGGCCAAAAGATTGGAGCCTTGCAAGAGGTCAAGGAGAGCTTGGTGCAGCTGAATCTTGCCCTACTGCAAAAATGGTTTTTGGTCCGGTGGGGTCTGCAAACCACCTGTAGGATACCAGAATCTCCAATAAATGCAAAGACATGAAATGACATGAATGTTTTTCCCCTCAAAAGAAAGCACGCAAGCACGCTGTTACGCTATGTTTAAGAACAACAGCACCTCGGGATACCTGACGAGTCTATAAGCTACTCAAAATCTCGAACACCTGCTTCGAAGACATCTAGCTGGCAGTTTTGCCGTTTGTGCTCCTTTAAAGCTGGTCGGAGGAAGGCGAACCTAAATCCAAGTGTCTTCCTATTGTGTTTGATCTCAACAGCATGTGGCCATCTGGTTGCTCTCATCCAACCCAGTATTCCTAGTCCTACGAGTCCGGGTCAGCGTTTTATGGACGACTTGGAGCCCATCAACACTATACTTGGGCATGTATCTTGATGGGGAGACACCCCGCCACTGGGTTTTGCGGCGCTGCGACTTGTCTGGACTGGCTTCAGCCCGCTGACCCTCCCCAGTTTCACGTGAGAGGGGCAGACCTGCGTGAATGCACGGAATATCAGTGGGTGTTTGATCCATTTTCTGTTTTCATCCGGTCTGGCTTTGGTCGAGGAGACCGGTGACCGATACGGCCGTGAGTCATGGCACCGAGCCACCTGGTGGCTTTTGTCCCACCCAACATAGTTGGATGGCGCCTCACTTGCGCACATAAGATTCGCCTCACCTGCGCACACAGCCTTTTTTTAATACATTTAACTCACCTGCGCACACATCGATTACATTCTTCTTTAAACAGTGCATGTTACCTCAAACTCATCTGCGCACACAGACTTCGCTCATCTGCGCACACTGCAAATTGAGTGATGATGATCTCTTTTTGCTCATTGCTTCCACAGTACCACGTCACACAGATGCTCTGCGTTTGATTGATGATGTTGGGTTGGGATGGGGGGGGGGGGGGGGGGGGGGTGGGGGTGGGGGGTGTTAATAACGTCCCTCATTCATCCACTCATTCATTCATTCATTCGTTCATTCATTCATTCATTCATTCATTCAGCCGAGCAAGCGGCGTGCACAGCCGAGGAGCGCGTGCACAACCGAGCAAATCTATGCGCGTGTACAGGCGAGGCCAAGGCTCCGCCCCCCAACATGAACAGAATGGATGACCTGGTTTCGGTCAACCTATATACCATCTGACAGGCTGGAGGATGGTCCTGGCAGTAGGGCTCTTACATGCTCTAACTGACTCCTCACCCACTGGCGCCTCTTCGAACTAGGACAGTCCGTGAGGGTATATGTATATAGTATATTATACCCACCTCGTACACCTGCTGGAAGCGGACATGCTAAACGAACTCATCCCCACCCCCACCCTCACCCCGAAGGAGAAAGCTTGCGGATGTGCAAACATGATCAAACATGTGCAAACTAGAATCTTCCAGATTTACGAACACACACAGATACTCGGAGGAGGATGACATGGACCATGCAGCAATTTTAATTGGTGAAACATATTGAAACATCAAATCCATCAATTTCACCATCGCATGTCCCGTACTATGTCCCGTTTCTAGAGAAACGCCATCTTCCAATGGACCATGCCATCCACTTCCATATGATGTAGTCGTCAGAGTGTTTCAAGTGCGATTGAAGGGCAAGACTCCATTCAAAACACCACTTGCAAACCCTTCCCTGAGTGGTGAAGGACCGTGTGTTGGCTATTCAAAACAAACATGGCTAACTTCCTCCAACACAACTTGCAACGCTTGTTCGTCGGAGGGTAGCCCGATTCCGAACACACAACTGTAGCTACCGGTCTCCAGGCCTCTAATCCGTCTTGAAGAGTCCTGGTGAGGATGTTTCTAGGTCTGATAGGCGTACAGGAGGCCCCAAAACCAACTGGAGTAGGGAAGATACACAGATGACTGGACTTCTTGGGAATCTGTTTGATACAACCCCAAATGGATAACAGGATGAATTTAATCATTTTTGGTCTATCAAATCGCAGTTTGACGTTGTTCTACTGTTGGTGGAAACAAACAAGTTCAGCGATACGGCGATACGACTTGCCGTTCCACCTGTTGAAGAGATACGTGTGCAAGGAAGCCTTTCTTGGACCATGGTGGACCGTCCGCCGAATGCTCAGTGACTCCTTCGGACGAGTGATGTCGAAACGGACAGCTGAAGCTTCTTAAATCCAATCACCAACCAATCCGGGGCGTCCATGCACTATGTATACTAAATACATCTGCACATCATTTAATTGAGTTGTATCATCCAAATCCATGTCCCTCTCTGCTCTCTACCCCAGCTGTGGTACGCTGAAAGAGCGTGCTGCGTGCTGAACCTGCACCCAAACTTCCGCCCAAGCGGCACCCCTCCTGCTGCCCTGCTTCATTGAGCTGGTGAGCATGCCACGAAAACCAGAGCTCTTGTCCGGTTTGGCCTCCGGTTTCGTGCCGCCGGGAACTTCGGTTTCACTTCTCTCCCGTTTCGTGCGATCCGCACGATAGATGGCCTCCAACCTGCTGGTTTTCCTTCACGGCAGAATCCATTCGATGCACAACGGTTGACCACTGAAAGAGGGAACAGCAGTCTACCGCCAGGGACGTCCACCACCTACCCAAAAGGGGACCGATTCTCCGACCGATGCTCCGATGACCGAGGAATCGAGATTCCAACAAATGTCAACTCCATATCGGCTGCCCTGGGCCATTGACCACGGTGGCATGAGGTACGGCTGACAAGTGGTTCCCAAATAGAAAGATAGATAGATAGATAGAGGTCTCAAATACCTTTGTATCACCAACTTGAACATACTAGACCAAACGTAACTGTGTAAATAGATAAATAGTTAGATGACCAAGCAAAGCAACATTTTCAACCAAACCATGGGTCCAGAAATGGTTTTCCACGCGACGTACGCAGACCAGCCATGCTGTCCCAAAGCGTACGTGCGTGGCATGCCGTGCCGTACTTGTTGAGGCCACAAAGCCGGTTGGTCATGTTGCTCCTGTTGCTTTGGCCCTTGATGTATGGCCTGTATGGCGTTGACCTATAGATTGGGGTGGTTGAAAAGGGGTCAAAGTTCAAGCATATCGTAGGATTCTAACCACATATGATAGTTAGGCTTTACTGCGCACACCCCTTGTTTTACTAAGGATTTTACAGCCAGGTCAAGGTCCATGATCATTTAAATGGTCTTGGAAGGCTAGGGTCTAGGCATACAGGCAGAGTCTGTGAAATGCCCTCCTGCAGAAGACCATCTGGGTTGGTCTTCCGACAACGGTGGTTTCAACCACGAGTGCCATGGTCCTGGCAGGCTGGCATTCTCAGGGTCCATGTTTAAAGGTTTCCAATGGTTTCCACAAATGGGGGTGCCCCCCAAACTGAGGGTTCAGGATGTTCACAACCCATGAACATTCCTTTTCTTTTGGGGGTGGGACCCCTAGGGATCCAAATGGATCCAAGCACCTCCTCAGGTCATTATGCACGTCTTGTCTTCGACACGGCCTACCGGCGCCAGCCAGTCGCCTGAACCGAACCGTATCCTAAGTGGATCGATGGACACCCTCGCAGCTGCGTCGGGGCGTCGGGGCGTCGTCCTTTTCGTTTGGAGGATCCGGTCACGCGAGGACGGTGGAATGCACCGTTCGGAGCCACCGGTAGGCGCCCGCCTGGACGCCATTCTGGATGGACAGGGTGAACTTCATCAGGACCTGATCGGGGGTCTCGCTCCCGGGACATCCCGAAAAGACCATCATCCTCAATTGGAAGGAAAGAGAAAGTGAAGAAAAAGAAGCTGAACCAACTGCTGATACAGAATCGTTCCGATACAAGTTTGCCCGATCTGGCGGAACAATGATATTCCAAGAAACAGGAATGATTCTAGTAGCAAATAGTAGCAGGACCCTCGTTCAACACACCAAAAGGACCTCGACGGTCCGCTTCCCCCGCCTCCTTGGCGGAGTTCAACACCCGCGCCAGCTCGGGGAAGACCTGGGGAGGTAGCTTGAACTTGCCATGCTGGAGCAAAACCCGTTTGAAGAAGACACAGGTGAGTCAACACAGTCAGAAGCTGAATGAAAAGAAGAGAGTTTGGGAACAAGCCAAACTAAAGATGTTTAATGATGTGTTTTTTCATGTGTGCGCGTCCTGTTCTCATGTTTGGACCGGTTTTGAGCTACTTCCCTAGATGATGAGGACATCCGGCAACATGAAAGGACATTCGCCATCCGGCCATACACAGATCCCTGCAGAATGACCATGGGAAACGCCTGGGATCGGCGGGGTCCACGACCGACGGATCCCATCTGCCGAAGACTCCCCAAACGGCCCGGTGAGCGAGATGGCCTGATTGGAATTGAAGACATATGCCTTATCCTGCCAGGCTGCACCATGTGGCGCCGGGACGTGGGGGGGGTGTTTTTCACGCTTTGGTCTTTTCTGTTGCAGATAGGTCAAAACTGCGCAACCCAGCATGCAAAGTGAAACCCAATAATGGAAATGTTCCGATCATTCTCTTGCAAATCAGCATACGATGGGCCGAGCAAACCCTATTGTAGTGGCTTACTTCCAAAGCGCTGACTCGCGGTGTTGTTCGTCTCGATCCAAAGGGTTGTCGACTTGAGTGTGGTTTGAAAGGATGGGTTCGAGAACCCTGGTAGACCCTCCAAATACCTTTCTCGAACCACACTGGGGTTTGTCAGAACGTATGGCTGGACCCTCTAAACTCTAAACACACCTCAAACAGCTTCTGAGAAGGTACTTGGAGCCCTAGGGACAGGGGGCTTGATTTGTCTTCTCCCGGAGGTTCTGGATCTGTCTTCGAGGGCTGATGACGTAAATGTGGTTTCACGCAAAGTTGTTTTGTGGTGTGGCCGGTGTGTTGTGGCGGCATTCCGCATAATAGCCAAAGGTGATCTCTTAGGGTGACTCTATTCTTCGGGCCAGTTGATGGAAGACAAGAGGCAAACATCATCAAAAATCTGGGACAGCGCAGCGCGGGTCAAAATCACCGGCGCTTCTTTTGGTTCATCGACCCAAGATTCGGCCACCCGCGCCAGATTGCAGGGCCGTCTCTTGTGGACAGTAAGACCATGGATTTTACATCTAGGCCCCGTGGGAGTCCAACCATTGATTCAATGGTTCTTACGGAAAGACGCTATGGTTTTACTATACCCAGACACTCCATGTATGCCATATATACCTACATTGACCCCTCAAACCACCCCAATGTAGGTATATATGGCATACATGGAGTGTCTGGGATATGTTTTACTATAGGCGTTAGACCACCGTTGCACGGGTCAAGCTACCGATCTTGGAAGGCCATCCCTTCCTGTCCAAACAATCGCAGTGCAGCTGACGACTGGAGCCGACCGAGTGCACCGTCGACTCAGTCGACTGAACTCGTGGACCCTAGGGGCCCCAGTACCTTCCCTAGGGGCCCAGTCCGGTACGACCGGACCCGACTGGACCCGACTGGACCCGGCACCAGTCTCGAACACATCACCGTACCTGAGGTACGGTACGAAAACGGATCCCCTAGGGCTTGGTAGGGGACACACCGGAGTTTCGCCCGTGTGGAAGCCGCTGTAGCGCTGTGATTTGATTCGCTGTTCTTTCGTTCTTCCAAGCGACACGGGTCATGCAGGGTCATGGGGTTCATGACAGCATGAGAACCACCCCAGTGTAGGCATATATGGCAGTCCCATGGAGTGTCTGGGTATTGTGGGATACACACGTCACATGAACAATCACATTCAACTGAACTCATGTTTTGCGCCATGGGCAGCCGTGGGTGGTCGATATCCATCGATTCTGACTCTGACTCAACCCGTCCTCATCGGGCAAAGAACTCGAGAAGCATTTCACCGACTCCGTCACACTTTGGACGGTGACAGCCAGACTTGACCTGGGCATCATTTTGGAGGACCAGTCTACGTACATAAGACTGCCTTCCATGTCCCCCCGAAATCCACTTGCTAACCGAGGCATAACGTAGGTTGATCATGATATTGTATAACCATGTCTTGACCGGCCAAAGGTACTTCTACGTGCTTTGCCGCTTAGCTGAGAATTAATTAGACTTGTAAGATGTTGTGATGTTGTGTGGCTTTGTCTACCGAGTCTACCTCCTGCATCCAACGCTCCGTGTATGCACAACGGCACAACGTATTTTTATCCCTGCTGTGGTGTTTCCAGATGTGCCCTGCCCTCGACCGACCTCTTGATCAGCGCCCCCGGTCCGGTGATAGAAAAAAAAGAAAACACCTGGAGCTTCCAACAAGTCGTGCAACGAAGATTCATCAAAACAAGCACGGTATGTGTTATCAATGTGTTATCCATGCGTTCTTTGGCTGTGGGGTCATGGCACCCGGGCTTTTTTTTGTGGTTTTTCCCACCAAAGTTCTGAACAGATTCCTCCATCTCTTGGGATGTCAATCTACCATGGTTTTTGGTGGGGGGAGGTGTTGACCTGCCAGCTTGGATTTGCTGCTCTTTCGGAGGGCGCGAGAAATGAAGACTCCTCAGAAGGGGATTCACACGGAGGAAACCGATGATGCACCCACATGGAAATCAACATCAACTTAGGACGTTCCACAGGGCTACCCGTCCGTGACTGGTCTTGAGATTCTACGCAGCCGAAACATGCACATCTACATGGTCGGTCAGCTCATAAGTGGATGAAACATGATGAACACCATTTAAAAAAGAATTAAACTAAAGGCCTCCTTCGTCCCACTCCCACCGAGTTCGCCTTTGGGCCACCCTCAACCCCTCCCTGCTGGCCGCTGTTGGGGTCTCCCCCCTGCGGCCCCGGGCAGCTCGGCGTCCTTCTCGGAGCTTCTCGAGAGCACGTCGCCGATCCAGGACGCTGCTTCGAAGAGGCCGAGCCTCGGCCGTCCGGTGTCGAACGACGAGAGAGACATGGCGAGACCGAGAACGAGAGGTCGGCCCCTGGCGTCTTCGGGTTCCGGTGGGGTCTTCGGGTTCCGGGGGGGGGTGGTGGACTCTGCGAGAATCCTTCACACACACCCCGGAGTTCCCCAAGTTTGAACCTCCAGAGGGTTAAGAGTTAGGCGAGATTGCGATGACCACCTGTCAATTCTGGGGGCACACAAGTAGAGTGCCCTGGGTCCTCCAACATCTGCTAAGATTTTGACGTGTGATTTTGGGTTAAGCCAGGTCCCCATACATGGATACTTTTCGGAAGAGCCCCTATCCCCCACCAATGCTTCCACTGGCACTGTACAGTGACAGCTTTGAGCCCTTGATGCTGCTCAAGCCTAGCCTAGCCGGGTCATCTCGTGATCGAAACCCAGGGAAACCGTCCTTGGTTGTCCTGTTGTCAGAGGTCTTGCGGATCTATCTGCCTCTACGCCAGGCATTTGGATCATGACCCAAATAACAAGGAAAGGAAGGACCAGGACCACTGCACTTACTTTCTTATTGAAATGCTCTGACGCGTCTGGTGAGTTCTGGTTCAGGCCTGCCTGATCGCAAGTTTCGATGCCACAGGCAGATTCGAGATGCCACCAGTATGACGCTGATTAACGAAAGGTGCGCAACATCTTTTCCACGCCAACACCGACACCGTAGAATTCTTCACCCGATGTCACCCAAAAAGCGTTGCAAAGAAATGAACAAAAATATGATGTCTGAATCTGAAGTGCAAAGGCCCTTCCTTCAGACTGCAAATGGATGTCCTTTAAGCGCCCATCAGAAATCCCTGCTGCGGCGTCACCGACAGCCCCAGTCCTACCAAAGAGTCAAGTCATGTCAAGTCTTTGCACAACTTCTTTTGGAACGATCTTTCAATACCCCCCAAGTTTCACGAAGTTTGGACCCACCCGGATTGGGATGTCACTGTGACCATGCGTGTTCTTGCGCCACTCCCATCAGCAAAAAGCGCTGAACAGTCAGAGCCCCGTTCATCTGGCTCTTCCTCGTATCACTTCTGGGAATGTCTGTCATATATGCCGCCCCATTGACCCCTCTGGCACCACCCCAATGCAGGTAAATATACCAGTCCTATGGAGTGTCTGGGTGTCATAAGCTCCCATCATCTAGATGCCGCGTCCAAGATCCTTTTTTTGCCACAGTTGGACACTGCGGGACCTCTGGAGAGTTCTTTTTCTCGAATATTCAATCATGGAAGTGGCAACATACCGCCCGCGGAAGACCAGTTGCCTCTGTTTTACGAAGTGCCCAAACGCTCATGGGCCCTCATATGGAGGGGTCAGACCCTCATATGGAGGGGTCTGAGATCTCAAATCCCTATGGTTTTGAGGTACCAAGAGCTGTTTGGAGCATCTGGTGTTAACTTTAAGAAGTTCGCCCGTGTTGCCATTCTCCAAGCAAGAAGCAGCGTCTCCATGCCATCCGATGCTTTGCGTCGCACAGGAGGTGGGGACACGGAGGGGGGATGTTCATTTCAGCTGGCCCGCCTATGGGTGGTCTGTGAGTGAGGCTGCCGGATCCAAACCTGGAGCAACCGAAACATACAGTGCTTTGGTTTTCGCCATGCTGTCGCCCATGCACTTCCCCGATGCAAGTGCCGAAACTGTACGACCTGTGCTTTGGAATCAAGTGTTTTCTAGTTCATTATATTTATAAGGTTGATCCCCCAGAAATGTACGGAGGGGAAGACTTTGGCACTCGGCGCCTTCATACCCACAAGTACAGTGAACTCTTACACCAGGCAAATCACGCCTGGCGTGCAAGCGACTGTCAGGCAAGCCTTGTGCGACATGCACTGTCAGCGTTTCTTCCTGCCAACTGAGCCAGAGCATTGCAGCACCAGCGTCACCCAGCGTCACCAGTCACATGGCCACCCATCCCGTGTGATTCGGGGGGGGGGGCCTGGCCTCAGTGGTCCGGTTTCTGTGGGGTGACCGGTGGACCGACGGACCGTCCGTTGACCTGGTGTCCGTTGACCGGGGGCCTCCAGGTTGACTCCATACCCTGCAACCGTGCCGTGGTTCGAGCGGTCACATGGCGCAACAACCGTTGATTGGAGGATTTGATGTGAGGTCCCGGGAGGGACTTCCAGCGCACTGCCTTCAGGCGGGGCTGGCTCCAGGCGCCAGCCGGGGAATGAGCTATCTGCTCGTATTCGGAACGAGCTACATGGGGATTCAACATCAGGAGTGACATGAAACGATGTATATATATATATACAAATATCGAAGAACTTCCAACCCAGAGATTCTACATTCCAGTCAATTCCAACCCGGAGATTCTACATTCCAGTCCAGAGATATCTCCAGCCAAAAAGGAAAGGCCAACATGCCTGCTGATCAAGACCTCAGGTGCAAGAAAAGGTCAGTCAATACCCAAACACTTCAAACCGAAGTATGACGATCAGGGGATAGCAAGGGTCAACACGTTGTCAACATTATACTGATCCTCTTAAAGTACCCATGGCGACTATCCCGATTCATTCAACCCAATAGTTGCGCCCCAAAGGCACGAACCAAAACATTTTTTCTTGCGCACAGCCGTCAGGACAGCCGTCGACTTGATTCTCAGAGTGTCAATAGCTCGTTGTCCTGGAAGGAGGATCGATGCTGTCAGCAAGAAAACGCGCATGGATTTAAAGTCATTGGACTCCTTCAAGGGCAATGACATGTCATCGACGTTCAAGTTTCAAAGCAATGTAGTCCAGCGAAGCCAATTGCAATTGGAAATAAGATGAAATAAGATAAATAGAAACAAACTTGGCAAACTCTCAAACCCGATGTGTGCACCAAACGCACAACGCCAGGCTCATCCCAAGCGAAAGGGCGACATCGATGGCGAGGGGGTGCTCGCGGTGCTGCAAACGAGGAGCACCAAGTGAGAACAACATCCCAAAGACACCCGAAACAAAAGAAGCACGAAACGAAACTGAGGACCTAACCTTGAGTCAGATGATAGAAAATATGTGAAAACATAATGTCCTATGGTCTACTTAAATACATGATGTTTAGATTCACTTTCCACCCACTAGACTGAACAAATACTGGTCTGCCATGCTTCCAAGTCAGCAAACAGCATAGCCTGTAGCACCACTAGGGAATGAATGACATGGCACTGGATGAATTGGGAACAGCGACCCTCTTTGCCACTCCTTCAGCAACTGCCGGATGAACTTGGCCTGGCATGGGCATTCCCTGCTGAGTGGTCATTTTCCTGAGTGATCATCTGCTCTTCAGCTAACCTTTCCATCAAAAGACCGCAAGTTCCTTGGAATGTTGAGCAGCTGGCTACACAGTCATGGATAGTATGAACACCAACCCTGTCCCCTCCAAGTCCACGATTTGCATGAGCTTACCTTCGATGCAAACATCAACAAACCCAAAAGAGACTCGTTTTTTCGAAGAAACATGACAATAAGCTACTAGGAACAAGTGCATCGCTTCTAGTAACAAGTGCCTTACTAGTAACAAGAAGCTATTAGAAACAGGAAAAGGAAGAATAACTCATCACTCCCTCTTTGACGTAGTGGGTCACAACCGCAGCTCTTAGCTCTTCCCGGCAGGGGCGGGTCGTCCATCGGACGGTCTGCCCGTTCCCTCGGTCCCCGGGAGGAGGGAGACAAGGAGGTCGACCGAGGCGAAGATCGAATCCGGTCGACCTTCAGTACCCAGACACGACCTATCTGGGACTGCCAGTCCGGACTGCCGCCCCATTGATCCCCAAAACCACCCCAATTGATGGGCATATATGGGGGGTGCAATGGGGCGGCATATATGGCAGTCCCATGGAGTGTCTGGGGTTTATATGATGTACGAACACGTTCCATCCTTTTTCATGATTCACATCGCGCCCAGTGGCCACCTTCCCATCCTTCCCCATGCCATCCCATGCCATTCGGTTGGTGGGATTCTTCACCGCCCCAAACCTTCGCGTCGTAGTCCGGCAGGCTCTTCCAGGATGCTGCAGCCACCTAGTAGATCGGTCCAAAAGGATGACGAAGCAGCGCCCGTTCTGGTGAAAGATTGGCTCCCAAGACGGAACATCCGGTGCTGGGAGTCGCACCTCTGAATCGGACTGGCGGACCTCTGAGTCACGGCGCCAGTCCCATGGAGTGTCTGGGACCATCACTTCCCCTACTGCCTGGAGATCGGGCAGCGGCTTACTCTCGAAGAAAGCTCCTGTACTGGACCTGAGGTACACCAGGCTCGACTTGGTGCTCCATGGGTGTAGCAGAAAAGCCAGAACAAAAACCCACAAAAGAGGGACACGATTGATCACTTGCTCGGGCTTTTTCCCCATCAAATCGGGCGTGGCCGTCTGTGTTTAGCCTCGGATCCTGCCAAAAACGCGGGCCGTCTGTGGTGTGCCAATCCCGTTTCAAGGAAAAAAAAGAAACGACCCACCGTGTCCACCCAGCAAACCTCACCACCCCTGCAATCCCATGCATCCCCCCAAACAAATCCCAAAGGATGCAGGTGAAGTTGTCATGCCGCATCACGCACCCATGATCGCCAGCACTGCCCTGCCCTGCCCTCGATGCAGCGGACCTCGATGCAGCGCCAACCCAGCGCCTAGCGGTGCGAAGAACCCACCCGAAGGCTCAGTTCAAGACCATGACGTCCGGTGCAGGCTATCCTGGTGAGGTAAGACGATGTGTTGCGGGTTTGGACATGTTTAGACTGAGAATTTATGAAATGATCTCAAGAGTTGTCTGTACATGTTCTTCTTCCTTTTGTTTACACACGCTGCCCATGAGTCTTATGTAGGGGTCATGTGTGTTTGCTTCTGTCCTGAATCCTTTTGCTAAAATGTCTACCATGGCTTTCTCTGGTCAAAGACCTACTCCTGCATCGGCTCGGGTTTGTGCATTCTATACATCATTATACACGTGATCATTACCCTAGAAGTCCAGTTCGACCATATTTTGACCGGCTGAAGGTTTCAGGAAGTTCCCGAACTCAGGTCCCCTGCCCTCGTCAGACCATTCTTTTTTTGTCAGACCGACTCCCAGGGAATTGTATAGCTGATCTGTTTTTTCTCATCTGGTCTAAGAGAAGCACAGCTGGTCTAAGAGAAAGGAAGAAATCCCTTCGCCGAGCCCAAGGGCCACGGCCTCCAGATGGCGCTTCTTTCGCGAAGGTGGTTCCTCTAAGAGACCAAATCTCCAGCTGCGCTCCTGGCGAAGCCAATTGAAGAAGCAAATCCAACAAACATGAAAGTGGAGAATGTTTCCAGTGGCCATGTGCATCATGTTAAACTTCCATGAAGGTACCCCTGAGCAAATTCTCAGGGACCCCCCGGGGTCAGCCTAGTACCTTCATGTACCTTCGACATGGACTGCTGGTAGTTGGAACCTTAAGGAAAGAACATCATTCCCACCACTGCAAATGCCAAAGTATGGAAGACCTCACAGGACTATCCACAAGTTCTAGGCTTCAGGGCCTGTAGGATAAGACACAAAAAAAAAACACATCCGAGGGTGCTACAACACAAACCGAGGGTGCTACAACACAATGACCAGTGCATAATATCATAAAATAATATATTATAACTATAACTATAATATATATAGATATTGTGCCCCCCCTAACTCATCTCTAGACATCTCCTATCTTCACCTCAATGGAAACACCTACATCGTTGCAAGTTTTGACCATGAAGAATGGGACTTCCCACCCAAAAGGAAAACACTTCTTCATAATGACCAGCATCCTACCAAACTCCCGCTACCACAAGCACTGTTTGGATCAGATCTTGCTTAATTCATCTTAATTCAGTATTCAGAATCTGCTCTGGTCTTTTGCGCATCCAGGTGACCACATCCCATCCCCTTCCAACCGGCGCGCCATGCTCCCACCGGACCCTCCTGCCCACCCGCACCCGGTGTACGACCGGGGCAGCCTCCACCGGCTCGAAGTTGATCCGCTCATCGGGGTCACAGATCTGGATCCGCAGCGACCGAGCGAAGCGCTTCCAGCGGGGCGAAGGGGCAGGGCTCGACCCGGGGGCGGGTCGGGGCAGCGGAGGTTCAGCTCGGGGAGCAGGGCTCGGTGATCGGTTTTGGCCACGGTCGGGTGAGACCGACGCAGGGTGCTTTCGTCGAAGATCCACAGCCCATCGTCGAGTGGGCACAGGAATTCCCATGGAATTCCTTCTTGAAACCAAGGTGGGACCATGGCCTAAACCTTCCATGGGACTGGCATGTTTGCCAGTCTCAGACAGGTCGTCTCTGGCATAGGAACCTACGAAAACCCGTCGGATTGGTTGGTGTGTGGCACCGTGCATCAACCGGTCAACCGTTCTGTGGCCGGAGAGCAGGAGAGGTCTGAACAAGAGACAGGTGATCCATGGATGGACACGCGTTTGTAGAGGTAGTGCTATAATAATAGTGCCTGTATTCCGCGTATTTTCTGTGCAGCTTTGCACAAACCGTGCTAGATCTCGGAGTTTTGCGACTGTCAAGTTCACCTGATGGTACACACCACAAGTCAGAAGCCAGAAGGTCTACTGGAGATACCGATCCGGCCGTCGCACCAAAAAAACAGCAGGTGCGTCGCCGTGCCTTCAGCGGGTATGGCCCCAGCATCTTGCGCTTGGCGGGAAAGCCGTGCTTTCGCAAGAAGAAGGCCATTTGATAAGAAAGCGCCGTGTCCCGACCTCGCCAGCGTGCCAGGTTCACGGAAAAAGAATCATGAAGGATCCTGTCGTGACCTAATTGTACTGATATATGTTATGATACAGTTTCAGTGGATGATGATGCCTTAGGTTGCAGGCCTTAGTTCCAAAAATAGTGATGATTCTTTACTGACAGGTCAGTTCAGACAGACCCAATAATATAGTATTTGAGTGATCCCCTGTTGCACCCGGTTGGATAGGAGTTCGGAGGATGCACGTCTTGGGTTGGCAAATCTCTCTGAAGTGCGATGGAAGCCGAAAACGCCGAAAACGACCGGCGTCACGTCTGCAACTCCGTGATGAACCAAAACGGGGCCATGGGTGTGTCGATGGTGCGTCCATCCACACCCCTCCTGGATGCCAAAATACCAGCGCAAGGTCTCACAGAAAGGACATCAAGATCCACTCGCTTTATGTTTGGATTCTTGTTATGCCCAGGACAAGGAATGACCATGAATGATCTACCCCTATGGCCGCACCAACTGCATTTTGGAGGTCCTCTCTTTGAGCCCCCAGACGCAGCTCGCGATCGTAGAAGCGCAAATCCCTCACCAGGGCGATGTATTCGGCCACCTCAGGCGGCAGTTGCTCCTGTGGCCGTGGAGTCCGCAGTAGTCCGCACTGCGACGGACACCGGAGACGGACGTTCGTTGGGCAGCCCGACCCCCCTGGCACCCACCCCAACCATCGAACCTCACGGAGGTAGGCCAGGAGTTTTAGGGGGGGGTATCCATCCATCAAATTCCATCCGAAGTTCGTGCAGAGCTTCGCATCCCGTGCGAGAGCTTATAAGCCATGGGGGCCAAGCGTGACCCAGTCTATCAAGCCGACGACCTGGACGACTGATGCCTTATGTGGTCAGTCTCAAGAGGGCCAGCCATTTTTTGGTTGACAGCCTAATCATCACAGAAGATCATCAGAGCCGCAGCTCCTGTGTGTAGAGAAAATCCACTCGGATCAGAAGCTCGATGGCTTTCAAGAGCCGCAACTCCTGCGGGGATTGGTTCGGAATCCAACTGACACGTGTCTATGGTTCTGCTCAGCATGGGCTCATGGTTAGACACTCTCGACATCTCATGTTCCTTGAAGTAGCAATCCAAACTCGGCAAGAAGCTCCACTCAATCATCATCTAGATGCCTCTCATGGGTGAAGAAACGCCTCCCAACAACTTCCATGACGCCTCCCAACAACTCTTCCTGTTGACCCAATCTCAGACTCACTCCAAAACTCTTCTTAAAAAACAAAAAACAACTGCTCGAGTCAGCTCGAGAGCAGCACGTCCTTGGCATCGTCCGCCACCTCCATGAGCGGCGTCCGCGACGCGGAGCGCAACAACACCACCACAGCTCCGGGAGAGCCTGGCGGCGCGAAGGGAGGAGGGAGAACCATGGGGCAGCCACTGGAAAACACAGTGCCAGGGAGAGTCTGGGATGTCTGGGTAAGATAACGGCCCCAAACCTAGCGGCTTGAGTGTTACTTTGGTTTGATTTTCGAAGAAAGAGACATCCTTGACCAAAGGAGGGCCCTAGAGTCTAGCAAACAGCAAAGAAAGGTCAGAAAGGTTTCCAAGTTTGCTTTTTGAAGCATGGACCTGCTGGCGCATCAAGACAGTGAATTTCTTGGAACCCCACGGTTTCTTCTCTGCGAAGGTCCAACCCTAAACCATCCATGTATGGAAGAGTTACTGTACCTTGGGGTCATGTTCATGGGGCAACTGGGGCACTCTTCCAGTCCCAGTCCTCGTCTGGTCTGGGGTTCCCAAGGAGACTGCAGGGAACATGGAAGGCCAAGTGGCTGAGCCCCGTGGCCAACATCGTATGGCCTGGAGCCGAATGAATCCGCTGGAGCCGAACTGGGTGATCCCAGTGTCCCAACCATCCCAACCTCGGATTTCGGGATCTTGATATTTTGTCATACCCTGCCCGAAACAAATGGGCCACTGTATTTAAGTGTTTATGAAACACCTCATCATGCTGCAAGCCTGGGAGCTCGAGCAGCCCTCATGAAACACCACATGTGGCCCAATAGCTTCAAAGAGACTCAAAGATATAACATGGAATAAGGAAATATATGGTTCAAACGCACAACTCTGCGTGACAAACTACCCACAAATATTGCACATGTACAGGTCTCACACTTCGAAGAAAGCAATGGAGACACAAATGGAAACCTTGAACATACAAACATCTATAGATTGAAGGACAGCACGCAACTCATGTCTCTGATATCATATTGCATCAATCCCAAGTCTCTGAGGGCATCTATAGTTTTGACTCCTACCATCCCCGACCACTCTTGGTTTTCAGTTGTAATTAGTTGGTTATGTACATACAGCATATCTTACTGTAACTCTTACTGTGTTACTGTAGTTAGGTATTTCAGTTCGTTTACTCTTCAACTCCAACGAGCCTTGGGGGACTGCGACCTACCTCTGCGCTGCGACCCATGCGCAGAGCCGACGTTCCCGACTCCATGGGACTGGAAGATCTGCCAGCGACAGACCCTCCCTGGCACCCCTGGCCGTGCCACTCGGCAGTCCGGCAGTCCCAGACAGGTCGCGGACTGGGGGTTTTCTTTTGGGGGGTAGTGATTAGTGATGGGGAGGTTGGGTGTTGCTCTGGACTGGACACCAAACCTCCCTGACGGCACGATCAGCGGCGCATGGGTTCGATCGATCTCCAAGGGGCAAAGGCTCACGGCGTTCGCCATGGGAAGAAGAGCGCCTGCCGCCTGCCACGTGGCGATGAAGCGGCAAACGGTTGAAACGGCCCGAGGCTGCTCGTGGTTCACTAAGAACTTCACCCAGGACGTCCGGAAAGTGACTTCGATCGACGGAGCTCCACACATCACCGACCTCCGGCCCCCCGCCTCGAAGCGAGGGAAGTCCCTCTCCTTAACCCGCGGACCGGCCGGCCGGTGCGGTGCGGACCGACCGGACGGACGGTGGAGAGACGTCCGTTTCGCTCGGCTCCGACGGTCTGGCGGCTTGGAGCGGCGCGACCGCGGCAGCAGATTGTTTATTTTTTTTTTCGAAGAATTGAAGCATAATCTGTCAAAACAAAAGTACAATAGACTTAACTGAATTCACTTCGGATTCTAATGGAAAAGACTTAGAATTTAATTAGAATTAATTGTTGAAAACTAAATTGGAATCAAACCATGCCCAGGTCTCTCAATTTGGGGACAAGACGGCTGGAACTAGGTGCCGGAGTCATGAAGTCGAATGCTAGACAATCAGCAAAATGCCATCTCAATGTTCGACACTGAGAATCAACAACTCTTCCAGTCCCACACAGGTCGTGTATGGGTTGGTAGACCCGTGTCGATCCCGGTTTCCTTTCCGCCCAAAAAGAAGACACCCCGGTGGATCCCTGTGGATCCTGTGGGTTCTGCTTCGCCGTCGCTCTGTCGCTCTGTCGCTCTGTCCAAGCAGCGATGTGCGAGTAGAGGAGCTTCAAGCGCTCAGGAGTCAAACCAGCACGATGGAAGCACAGCAAGACCTCCGGTGAGGACGCTTCGACGAGTCCACTTCGACGAACACATCGGAAGTGGATGGCCCACAATGTCCATAAATAGACCCTAGCCTTCAAAGACCATTAAAAGAACGGAGCTGGTGGTGTAGTGTGAAAATCCTTAGTAAAGCAATGGTTCTTTGGTAAAGACCATTCAAAAAAATGGTTGTTTGAATCCTAGGGTAGAGGAACCATCGTCTTCCCAGGGGTCCGTTTCCACTTCCATGTTAGTGAGGACGGACCAAGTAGAATTACATAATACCCAAAAAGTCCAGTCTGACCCAGTAGAACCTGGTCCTTGACCTTCAATAGTGTGTTTGTATGACCGACGTCAGTGAGGGTCACACGGCCGAGCAGGTCACATGGCCCGTTCGGCCGTGTGGTATCGCCCGAAGTCCTCACTTTGGTTCAGGAACTCCACGTCCCACGTCAAACACGTCAAACACGTCCAAGGGTCATTTAAAGAGGTTCGGCTGAAGGCATGTTGAACTCGGGGGTTTTTCTTACTTACATTGATGGACTGGTGAACATCAGTCCAACTTGGTGAGGCAACCTTGCCTTGGGGATTGCTCCCTTCTTTCGAGAACACACAATGAAGCTGGACTGGGCTTGAGCTTCCGCCTGAGCTTCCGCCTTTTCAGCACAGGAGCGCCAACTCCGAGCATATATACAGTACACCTTCACGACATGCGCTTCTCAGCTGCCCAAAGAGAGGAGTGAGGCGGCAAGCCACACAAGACTCCACTCATGTGTTGGTGACTTGATTCGTCGGGCCATGCTGATCTGTCCGCTGTCGGTGAAACATTCAAACAAACGACGCGGCTCTGTAAAAAGTCGACGTGTCTGCGTGGCATTAGCAATGATTCTGTTTACTTCTGAGTCAACCCAGTTGGCAATTTCCAACCCACGGTCGACAAACCTGCTGTATTCCGAGTAGTTGTCAAACCCCGATAGGGTTGCATCATCACAACCCTGGCAGACCCAAAAGTCTCGCACTTTGTGTTGGGGACCATAATCATTTTGAGGAGGTCTGCTACTTTCATTTTGAACACGTTCCAAGCATGCACTGCAGCATTGATCGAGTTCCGAAGCATCACTGCACATGTAGCATGCCATTGGCGTCACTGAAATCTGGTCAAGCATCGGAGTGTCCACTAGCATTGCCTGACATTCTGCACTGATTGTGGTAGTGGTGGTGGAGACTGTCGTCGTGGTGGTTGTTGTGGTGGTGGTGCTTGTGGTGCTTGTGGTGCTTGTGGTGCTTGTGGTGCTTGT